CCAGTGTCCGATACATCCAAGAACATGTGGTGAGATGGAGGATCGAGGCGAGATAAGTGCTCAACCGGGATGGTGTTGAATTTGTGCTGAAGCTCTAAGATTGCGAGAAACCAGCTCAGGTAATCGCGTACGTCGTCCGTGACGGGTCGACGAACACGTTGGGTGTAGAATCCTGTCGAAAAGACTTGAATGTTTGGTAAAAAGCTCTGGTGGGCGCAAAACTCGTCGAAATGTAGCGTAGGCTGCCGAGAAGTTTGTGGATCATGGATTGGGTGCAACTTGTCATGTCAAGGAGCAGTTTCGAGTCTTTAAAACTTTGTCGGCTGGCACCGATTCTGTGCCAGCGCGTGTATCCCAGAGTAGTCCCAGAGCCCTCACATTTGTCGACCAAATCGTGAACTTTCTTCGCTGATCGCTGCTGGACCAAGCACCACCGCCATCGACTTACGTAACGCCAGATTTGCTTTTGCACGCCTTGTGCCTGTATCCAATTACGCACATGTGTGATCGTCATACCAGTAGTTACCGACAAACGGCCCATCGGGGCCAGTATTGGGCTGGGTCGTTCACGTTGATAGAGATTGTTAATGAGCGATCCTGGGAGCGAGTCATACGCCGGTGATCCGCACCAGACGAATCCGCAGGATAAATCAATGATGACGTAGCAGTCGAATCTGAATGCAAATATGTGGACATGGTCGGTATGCATAGGTACGTGGTGAAAGGCTCCGGCCACGTCGCCCAGCATCATTAGCAAAAGATGACCCGCAATTCGAATGCGCAGCTCGAGCATCCGGCGGGCTATGTCACTAGGTGGATTGTACACGATGTCTGGAAATTTGTTGCGTTCAGTGAAGTCGTCGACTAATGCTCCTTCCGTAAAGGATTATAGTTAATGATTTGGATAGCGGTTGCCAATCCCTCTTTCCCCACCACGCCAATGGGACTGATGAAAACATTAATCCACTGGTCCAGTAAATCTTCTTGATAACGTCCTTCCCGTTGACCTTTCACAATACGTGCTCTCACTTGCGATAGATATGGCAGCATGGACTTGTGGTTGGCCGGGCGATTGGACTAGGTCTGTGGCTTGCGACTGGTCCATGCTGGCTGAACTCCTCTCGCACCACGGAGTTCCATTGATCAGTGAGCTCAGCAAAATCAGGTTCCGCGTTGCGCTCGACTTCGAATAAATCCTTGTTTGGCCGTGGATTGTCAGCAGTCTGATCACACCATCTCTTCACAAATTCGGATACTGGCCGGAGCGTCGTGCGACCTGAGAATCAGCACGAATTCGGTTGATATCCAAATAGTCAGGCTTCGCCGATATCACGGAAGGTA